ATAAATACAATTGTGAGTGTATTACCATCGTCTTGATTTGCTTTGATAATATTTAGCCTTTATTATTCTAACCAATCTTCCATATTAAACAAGCTAAGACTAAACTTGTTTCTAGAATTTTAACAGTAGTTTGTATGAAAGTCAGGTTGTGGTAGGTTGTAAAAAGATAGGCAGATGGGGAAATAAAAATACTAGTTTAGTTTAGATATTAACGGTATAAGAAAGATAAGTTAATATGCAGGGAAGTTGGCAGGATCAAGTGCTGACTTTTAAAATCTAGATTAGACATGGACATGTTTAAATATTAATAGAAATATCAGAGATGCCTTGCATCTAGATACGTAAATAAGGGAAAAAAGTGTTCTGTGATTATTGGGATGCTAAGTCTTAAGAGGATACTGTTACATCCTGGATCTATGCTCTACGAAGTCAGCAGTACTGGGGTTGTCTCCATGCCCCTCCATAAGGTTATCAGATCTGTTTCTGCATCTTTTCATTTTGGGACTTGTAATATAGAAAGAGAGGGAATAAAAATAAAAGAAAGAGAAAAAGAGAAACTAAAGCCAGATGCCCACATCTGCTAGAAGGAATACTTCTTCAGTTAGGACACTGCCTAAATTCAATTGTGACCTTCAGGTAGCCTTGGTTTATATGTATGTTTTACCTTTGCTGTTCAGTGCTGTTGATTTTGATTTTGGTTACACTCTACTGCTGTCCTATGGAGTAAAATAAAACTGCTCAGACTTCAGAAATCTTATAATTATTGCTAGTTTATGATTTGGATGGAATTGATAAGAATGTAATTGTAACTGACTCCCTTCTCATCTGTTCTGAAATAGAAATACACAGTCACTGAAAATGGGTAGGAAAGTCTAGGTTTCTAAAAGGATCATGTTTTTCTAACTTTAAATCATGTCTTAGACCCCCTGATTTTGATACAATGTTGTTGGAAAAATCCCTAATGATTCAGTATTCTTCATCAAAGTTAAATATAAAATAAAAATAGAAAAATCTAAGTGAAAAGGCAATTAATCACCTTTTGAAAGGCAAAAGAAAATTGTGAAACCTAAGATGAATGCATATGTTGAAATAATAAAAAATTACTATGTTAGCAAAATAAATAGTTTTAAATAATTAACTATCAACACTATTGTGAATTATACTATAATACCCTGGAAATGA